TCTCCCCCCCCAAGACAGCATGTAATCTAATATAGGCTATACATATACATTCCTATTAAACATTTTCACATTAGTGATGTAAGTAAGAATTAGAACTAACAGGAGAAACCACCAGAAAGAGGAAACAAAACACAACAGAAGAAAAAAATAGCAAATAGTATGCTTTGCTCTGCATTCAAACTCCATAGTTCTTTCTCTGGATATGGATACATTTTCCATCATGAGGCTTTTGGAGATGTCTTAGATCCTTGTATTGCTGAGAGGGGTTAAGTCTATCAAAGTCAGTCATCATTCGATGTGGCTGTTACCGTGTACAACATTCTCCTGGTTCTGCTTACTTCACTCAGCATCAAACTATACAAGTCTTTCCAGGTTTATCTGAAGTCAGCCTGTTCATCATTTCTTATAGCACAATAGTATTCATTACATTCATATATCACATTCACAATTATGATTACCATTTGTGTCTTTCTCTCCATCCTTCCCCCCCGTTTATGTTTTTCTTTCTCCTTTCTCCTTTTCCCTCCTCACTAATGTTTTGCTTTTGACCACCACCTCCCTTAGTCCCACCTCCCTTCTATTAGCCCCCTCCATTTTCTTTCCCCTTTTCCTTCCTACTGCCTATAGGGCATGTTAGATTTCTATGCCTAACTGATTATGTTATTCCCTTCTTGAGCCAAATCTGATGAGGGTAAGATTCAAACAATGCTCATCTCCCTCCCTTCTTTCCCTCTGCTGTAATAGGTTTTTGTGCCCTAGTACATGGTCAGTTTTTGTGTATGTGCCATGTACTGCTGAGAGAAAAGTATATTCCTTTCTATCCCTGTTCAGTTTTCTCCAGAGGTCTATCATACCTAACTTTTCTAATGTTCTATTTATCTCCTTAACTTCTTTCTTGTTTATTTTGTGGTTAGACTTATCTAGTGCCCAAGAGGGGGAGGTTCAGATCCCCCACTAGTATAGTTTTGCTGTCTATTTCTTCCTGTAACTCCCTGAACTTCTCCTGTAAGAATTTGGATGCTATACCATTTGGTGCATATATATTACTTCATTGTCTATGGTGCCTTTTAGCAGGATGTCGCTTCCTTCCTTATCTCTTTTGATTAGATCTATTTTTGCTTTTGCTTTGTCTGAGATCAGGATTGCTACCCCTGCTTTTTTGGCTTCAGCTGACGCATAATATATTCTTCTTCAGCCTTTTACCTTTACCCTGTATGTGTCACTCTTTTTCAAATATGTTTCCTGTAAACAACATATTGTAGGATTATGGTTTTTAATCCATTCTGCATTCCGTTTCTGTTTTATGGGAGAGTTCATCCCATTCACATTCACAGTTATGATTACTATCTGTGTCTTTTTCTCCATCCTTTCCCCCCCATTTATGCTTTTCTTTCTCCTTTTTCCTTTCTCCCCTTCACTAGTGTTTTGCTTTTGACCACCGCCTCCTTCAGTCCCTTCCCCCTTTTATTATCCCTTTCCCTTTTCTTCCCTTTTAGTCTTACTGCTCTTCCCTCCCTTCTTTTCCCCCCTCCCTTTTCTTTCCCCTTTTCCCTCCTACTGCCTATAGGGCAAGTTAGATTTCTATACCTAACTGATTATATTATGCCCTTCTTGAGCCTAATCTGATGAGAGTAAGGTTCAAACAATGCTCCCTGGGGGGGGGGGGCCCGCCCCTTCTTTCCCTCTGCTGTAATAGGATTTTGTGTCTTTTCCTGTAATGTAATTTACCCTTGTCTGCCTCCTCCTTCCTCAGTACATTTTCTAAGATCAGATTGATCCACTTATTTGGATCCATTTAACCCACTTGATTAGATTTTTTTTTTATCATTACATCAAAGTCAACTAATATCCACCCTCTCTTTATGTATACTCCTTTAACAAGGTGTAATAACAATACAGTTCTTGAGAGTTACAAGTGTCATCTTCCTTTGTAGGGATGTAAATAGTTTGCCCTTATTAATAACATGTTGTTTCTCTCTGTCCCATTTACCTTTTTATGTCTCTCTTGAGTCTTGTATTTGAAGATCAAATTTTCTGTTGAGCTCTGGTCTGTTTTTAAGGAAGGTATGGAAGTCCCCTATTTCATTGAATATCCATCTCCTCCCCTGAAAGATCATGCTCATTTTCACTGGTAGTTGATCCTTGGTTGTAATCCAAGCTCCTTTGCCTTACAGTATATTATATTCCACGCCCTACAGTCTTTTAATATAGAAGCTGCAAGGTTCTATGTAATCCTGACTGTGGTTCCATGATATTTAAATTGTTTCTTTCTGACTTCTTGCAGCACTTTCTCTTTGACCCAATAATTTTGGTATTTGGCTACTATATTCCTTGGCATTTTCAATTTGGGATCTCTTTCAGGTGATTGGTGGATTCTTTCTATGGCTATTTTATCCTCTGGTTCTAGGACCTCAGGGCAGTTTTCCTTTATGATTCCCTGAAAGATGCTGTTCAGGCTCTTTTTTTTCATAGTGATTTTCAGGTAGACCAATAATTTTTAAATTGTCTCTCTTGGATCTGTTTTCCAGGTCAGTTGCTTTACCAATGAGGTATTTTACGTTTTCATCTATTTTTTCATTCTTTTGTTTTTGTTTGACTGATTCTTGCTCTCTCATAGTCATTAGTTTCCATTTGCTCAATTCTAATTTTTAACAAATTGTTTTCTTCTATTAGATTTTGTACCTCCTTCCCCATTTGGCCAATTTTATTTTTTAGGGACTTGTTTTCTTTAGTATACTTTTTTCCAGTTAGGCGATTGTATTTTGTGAAGACTTGTTTTCTACAGTTAATTTTTGTCCTTCGTTTTCCAAGCTATTGACTCTCTCTTGCATACCTCTCATTTCTTTTCCCATTTTTAGTTCTACCTCTCTCATTTGACTTTTAAAATCCTTCTTGAGCTCTTCTAAGACAGCTTGTTGGGCTTCAGACCAGTTCATGTTCCCTTTTGAGGTTCCAGATGTGGGTTTGTTGACAATATTGTCCTCTTCAGAATTTCTGCCTTGATCTTAACTCTTCTCATAAGAAGAATCTATCGTATGATTCTTTTTGTTCATGGTGTTTGCTTATTTCCTGGCCTTTAAAGAGACTGGGCTCTTCTACTGGGGAGCAGAGGGCACTGACCCAGGCTTCTGGTGTTGGGAGCCTAGGGCCTGGTCGATGGCTTTGTGTGCTGGGGCCTCCAATGTTGGTAGGTGGAGGCTGTAGGATTCTGGCAGCTTACCTAGTGTTGGGCTGGAATCAGCAACACTGGAACTCTAGGGGTAGGATTGGGTAGTGTGGCTCCCAGAGAATTCCTGCTCACCCAGGCCTTTCCTTCCTTTTGCTTTCTTCAGCTCCTTTCAGATGGATGTTGTAGGGTGTTTATCCACCTGGGGCTCCTTGGAGCACTGCTTCCCTTAGTTTTGCTGAGGCACTGGGAGAGCCGGTTGCTATAGAATGCTGAGGCACCTGGTGGTTTTCTGAGCTGGTTTCCACTAGTTCCCCCGCCCTCAATGAAGCACTGGGGTCCAGATGTTGGTGTTTGCCTGCTCCACCACCTGGGCTTCAGGATCTCCTCCTGTTATGCTGAGGTGGGGCTTTCCACTAGCTTGCTGGGATGCCTCCCGTTCTGTACTGCTCCCCTTCCCCCAAGGTAAGAGGGGCCTTTCCACTTAATCCCTCAGGCTACCTGGGCTACTGGACTGTGGCACCCCATCTTTCTTCCGATTCAGCTGTTACAGGGTTTTTCCTGGGGTGATATTTTCTGGGCTTTCAGGAGTTAATAGGGGAGGGTAAGAGAGACTCAACCTCTTACTCCACCATCTTGGCTCCCGGAAGCGGAAGTTCATATTTGTTCATCTTGAGCTGATAGACTGCAGAACTGAAAGGGACCTTAGAGATCACCCAATCCAACCCCATTATACAGATAAGGAAACTGAGGACTGGAGACAAAGTGTCCTGCCCATTACACAGGTCATAAGAAGCAAAATTGGGATTTGAACCTTTGACTCTGTCTAAATCCAATGCTCTTTCCACATTTTCTTCACTGTAAAAACCCCCAGTGGGGTGACGAAGAGTTAAACATGACTGCAACTACAAAACAACAACAATACCTCCCCAATTAGATTGTAAACTTCTTGAAGGTGAATTAGGTCTTGGGCGTTAGGTCTTCACTATTCTCTAAGGAACCTGAGAGAATTCTAGATGGATGGAGTGTTTGTTGGGATCACTGCCTTGAAAAGAATTCCAAGCTACCAAATCAACCCATTGAGATAGAATCAGTGGCAAGTTCACCAGAGATGAAAGAAAACTCATTATATGAGTTAGAGGCTCATTTCTCCCAGGGAAAGTACCTACTGTTAGCTGGTAGTAAGTCAGTGGTGAGCAGTAGTTTGCTAGGTCCGCCTAGAGATGAGGTGGATCTAAGGTAAGTGTATTAAAGGACTTCAATTTATATAACAGAGTCATTCCTGAAACTGTGAGGGACAAGGTAAGATTTTTGAGAACATCTGAATCTGCCATTACGTTCAAGGAAACCAAGGAATTACAACTTTCAGTGTATTATTGGAAAGCACCAACTACCTCAGCAGCAGGTACAACATGGGCTCCAACGTCTCGAAGAGGGAGCAGGGAAAAGGATCTCAAAAACTTGTCTTCAATGAGGATAATAATAGCTTGCATTTCTATAATATTTTATGGTTATAAAGTACTTTTTATTATGTGATCACCAAAGTAACATTTCACTTGATCTTCACAACAATCCTGTGAGGTGGGTAAAGCAACTATTATTATCTCCATTTTACAGATGAGAACATTGAGGCTTAGGGGGATAGCTAGAACTAGTGGCAGAAAAGATGTAGAATTCGGCTCTCCCAACTTCTTTCCATCATACCAGGTTGCTTCTCTTCTGTTGAAATGGCAAAGGATTGGAGCCAGTTAACTGCAGTCTAGTGTCACTGCCACTAGTTGTATGACCTGCAGCAGGTTCCTAAATGTCTCTGTCTCTATTTCCTTGTCCCCAGGTGCCAAAGGGGCTAATAAGCATCATTCCCACCTCAAAATGTTTTTGTGAGGAGAACATGAAATATGAGGTATGTGAATTACACACTTTATGTCTCCCCCTAAACACCATGATATAGTCTGGGAAAAATATTCTGTAGATGGGGAGGAAGGAGAAAAGTTTCTTTTAAAGTAGCATGTAAAGCAACTGAGATGTGTCTACGTTTTTGAATATTGCCTATGCTGGACTCCAGTGCCCAGCTCTGTGCCTAACACACAGCAGATACTTAATAAAGGTTTGTTTATTGATTGATTGGCTTTGGTTTGCTTGTCTATACATGTTTGTACCAGGAATTTTGTTTTTCTTGTTTTCTTAATGGGGGAAGGAGGCGGTGGGAAGGAAAGAATGAGGACCTGAAAATAAAATAAAGTTGAATTTAAAAAATAAAAATAAACAAGATACAAAATTAGCTTAAAGCAATGTTTCTAAACTTTTGTGATTGTATATCCAGTCATTAAAAAATGTTTGATCATGTTCTCCTGTAAGTTACATAAATGTACTGATATACTAATAATGTATGTTATAAAACTTACACATCTTCTAAAAAGGATGACATAAAAATGATATTTCATCTTAGAATATTATCTCTGGAGGTTGTTTAGCAGGGTAGTGACATGGTAACACCTGCACTTTAGTAAAATCACTGCGGCAGCTGCGTAGAGGATGGATTGGGAAGGAGACAGCCTTGAGGCATGGAAACCAATTAGGAGGTTACTTCAGTAGTCTGGGAAAGAGGTGATAAGTCCTTCTCAGCCTGGAGTGGTGGTTAGGTGAGTGGAAAAAGGGAATATGTGTGAGAAGTGTGGAGGCACCCATAAATTTAGCAACTTTGAGTGTTTAGCTGCATAAGATATGTGGACCGAATAAGAGTGATTGAGTGGAAGATGAAATTAAAGTTGTGAATCTGGCTGACTAGAAGGATTGGTGGTACCCTAGGGAAATTTGGAAGACAGGGAGTTGGGGTTGGGAAGAAAGACAATGTAATGAGATTGTATGATCTGTTGAAACCCATCCATGCCTTCTCATCTTGGGAGTCTCTATTGTTCAAAACAAAAAGCAGGAAAGCAGAGCTCTTCTGACTCACTGGTCACTGTCATATAGCAATCTGGGGGTCACTGGATAGGTTTGCTGAACAGGGTGGATTGTAGATTTTTCCAGTGGTACCTACACATTGGCTGTCGGTACCCTGTAGGGGTATGGTGGAGCTGGCTTGGGAGAGCAGACTGTAAGATTTTCAGGGCATTTACACCTCAGAAGTCAGCAAATGCTATGAATTGGGGCTTCATTTATGGTTTTGTTGATTGTCTAGATTTAAGAAATAGAGAAAATATTAATAATGCAGATTAAATTTAAAAATTTATCTGGCTGTTTCCACCCTCTCTCCTCCCTACCCCACTACTGCAGTCTGTTGTTAAACTTTCACCAGCATATCTTTGCCTATAATAATTAGGTTACAGCTATCCTGAGGGGACTGCCTACACTCGGCTCAGAATGGGGGAAGCAGGGTCAGGGTAGTATTAGTGGATAAATGTAGGTTGTGGTTTTTTTGTAGAGAAGCTCCATAATTGGCTACCATGAAGAGAATGGGATTCGACCCACCTTCCCATCCTTGGACTGATCATTACCCACACATGGATTCAAGCATGGACTCCTCTTCCTCCAATCCCTCCCCCCCACCCCCAATTCCCAGTTTGGAAACTACTGGCCTAAAAGACTCCCCTCTTGGCTCTCTGACTGCTTTGTCTATGCCTGAGCTCTAGAAGAAGGCCACATTTCCCTCACAGTTGCAGTGGGTTCCCCAGAGACGTCCATTTCTGTAATTGAGGAGGAGGCTCTAGCATCCATAGTAGAAACATAGACCACTTGGAAATTGAGTGACAGAGAAAAAAAATAGGGTAGAGGAGGTGGCTGTGATAGAAAGAACCACCATTTCTTCTGAAAAGCCCAGTTCTAGAGGGAAATTGCCTTATTACATTAAAATCCTAAAGTGAAGCAAATATTAAACCATTCCCAAGAGCTATATAGCCTCTTTCCAGGTACCTTCACAACCATCCAAGAAGTCCCTGAACTTCAGAACAAATCCATTTCTGTAGGATTGTCTTTGGAAACAGCAAATATGGATTTTATTTCTTCTGATTAGGATTCTTAGCATGGGAGTAATTTTGTTTTATGGCTTGTTTGGTTCCATTTTTCTTATTTTTGGGGGGGTTCCAAATTCATTAACCTTTTTTTGTATTCATATTTTATTTTTTAAAATTATTTTGATTTATCAACAATCATTTCCATAAGCTTTTGAGTTTTAAATTTTCTCCCCATCTCCCTCCCCAAGATGGCATGCAATCTAATATAGGTTATACATATACATACCTATTAAACATATTTTCACATTAGTAATGTTGCAAGGAAGGATTAGAACCAATAGGAGGAACCACAAGAAAGAGAAAACAAAACAAAACAGAAGAAAAAAATAGCAAATAGTGTGCTTCGATCTGCATTCAAACTCCATAGTTCTTTCTTCAGATGTGGATAGCATTTTCCATCATGACATTTTTCTGATTTAATAGGATATTTTTCTAGATAGATTGTAAGAATTTTATTTTTTATATTTATAAAATTTTACCCCTTTCTGTACACGTCGCACATCCCTTCACCTGGTGGCCTAGGAAGTATCAGCACTTGCCAAACTCAGATTGGTCCCATCTTTTTCTCCCTGCTTCATACTTTTTGTCTTGATTTTCCATCCAGTCTGTTCTATGGGACCAACCATTCCCCCCCCTTGCAGGTGCAGCTTACCATGACTGCCTTAATCAGGGTCTACTATTTGTATTGGGAAACACAGCATTCATTACACCTGTTTTCTGGCGAATTTCTTCCTGTTTGGTTTATGATTATTAATTTCTCTTTAAGTGTGAAAGTCAATACAGTAAAAAAATTTGTATTCTTCCCCTTGCCCAATAAAAATTGATCTAATGTATTGTTTGTTGCTGTCATTTTTAGTTGTGTTTGACTCTTCATGACCCCTTTTGAGGGTTTTCTTGGTAAAGATATTGGAGCGGTTTGCTATTTCCTTCTCCAGCTTGTTTTATACGTGAGGAAACAGAGACAAACAGTATTTAGTGATTTGTCCAGGGTCACACAGCTAGTAAGTCTTTGAGGTCTGATTTGAACTCAGGTCTTCCTGACTCCAGGCCAGGCACTTTATCCACTGCACCACCTGGCTGCCCAGTCTAATGCATACAAAATGACAAATATGAAGGAATTTCAAGAACCATGGGAAGACTTGGATGAATTGATGTAGGACATGAAGAGAGCAATATAGGTAATGATTATAATAAGGCAAATGAAAAATTTGAATGCTACTCAGTGTTTCTTTGCCTTCCCTTGGATTTCATCAATTTTAAGTGAGCTGATGAGGAACAGAAGCATGACGGTGGACTTGCTGGAGGAGGTATACCATAGAAGGCCGCTGTCAAGAGGTCATCCATGCTTTGGCTGTGCTCTGGCAGGACTTTTAAAAAGGGTCAGACATAGGGCTTTGGATCTTTCTTACTCTAACTTTTGGCATGAGTCTGCTTCACATCGAGAAAAATATCAAGCAGACAATGCTATGTGGATTCTTGTGGCTAAGTGGCTTCCTCAGTGCTAGACTGTTGAGGTGGTGACCCCTACCCCCACAATCTCCCCGCAATAGGTCAGGGGTTGAGTTGCAGCCTTTTTATTAGTGATGCCATGCATTGAGGTCAATGAAGGGAGACTGTGTGAGCTGGATGGAATGACTCTTTCTCCTCCTTTCCCTTTGGTTTCTAAGACTGAGAATACCACGTGTAAAGGGGTTGATCAAGGGAATTTCCCAAATCAGTTTGCTGATTGGGCAGGAAATGAGGCATTGGGACATTTGATGGGCATCTCCCCATTAAGAGCATGAGCATGCCCACTGGTACTTTGCTAAGAGAAAAGGGGCTAGATCCTGATTGGGTTTCAGGAAATGGGACTACTACCAATATAATTTTGGTTGGTTAGGATTCAGGGGGAATGCAAATTCTTGTTGGAGAAGCTGCTTCATTTCCACTGGCCTGACAAATCTATTTGGCCCTTCCCTCTTCTTTTCTCTGTTCAGAGGACACCTCTAATGGAGATGCATGGACATGGGTTCTGGGGCTACAAGAAGCCTGTGTACAATCTCCCCTATCCAGGAATGGTTATTGACTGCCTGGAGCTGAAGCACAGATGACACATGAATGTTATTTACATATAGTTTCCTGAGTGTGCCAGAGGATAAAGACACAGAAAGAAGATTTCTTCCAAGCCCAAGGGATGGCAGCAGCCAGTAGAGTGGTGGAGTAGCAAGATTCTGATAGGAAAAAGCAGATTCTTCAGATGGGGACACAGACACATGGCAGTTTTGTTACTTTTGTATTAAATTTATATACATTGAAAAAGCAAACTGTGTAATGGAAAAAGTCTCTTCTGTTCTTTGAATATTGGAATGGTCATGTTTGTCAAGTTCATAATAAAAGCAATTTTTAAAAAATCCTTGGCAGAATCAGATTAATAATAACAATACCTAGCATTTATATGAGGTTTTAAGATTTGCAAAGTACTTTACAAATAAGATTTCTTTTTCCTAACAACAAGCCTGGGAGGTAGGTACTGTTAACCTTATTTTACGGATGAGGGAATTGATGTAGACAGCAGTGAAGTGACTTGCTCAGGCCCATCCCGTTAGTGTCTGGGGCTGAATTTGAACTCTAGGTCCAGTGAGCTACACACTGAATCATCTGGCTGCCGCACAAACGTATGTTTGTCTACATGATCTGACAGTAGAGTTTCTGGACTGTATTTCTGGACCCTAATATCTTGTGTCAAGGATGGAGAATCTTATTCCTAGGCAATATAATTCTAGAATCTAAACTTCTCCCCCAAAGAGTTAGATTTCTTGGGTAGTACTAGCTAGCCTTGGGAATTTCTATGACAGACAGTAACCCTTAGATCAAATTCTGTTATTTATTTTTTAAGGCAATTGGGGTTAAGTGACTTGCCTAGAGTCACACAGCTAGTAAGTGTCAAGTGTTTGGTCTGAGGCTGGATTTGAACTCAGGTCCTCCTGACTTCAGGGCCAGTGCTGTATCCACTGCGTCACCTAGCTGCCCCTAGATCAAATTCTGAACAGTGTGTCTGTTGGAGAAAGAACCTTTATGTGTTCCTATAGCCAGAGGAGCAGCAAGTAGATTTAAAGTCACAACATAGTGGGTGTAAGAGATAGGAACCTTACTGCCATTCCCACCCTTCTGTATTACACACAGTATTGGGAAGTGGGTGACCTCTCCAGCAAGCCTTAAAGTGTGGCTCAGGGGAAACCAAACCACAGGGGCACTGTGTATAGGACCCTGTTAGAGAGCTAAGGATTCACCAAATTATTAGTGTTGCCTGCTGGCCATCCCTGATTTATTTCTCTTTTTAACTCTTTGAAATGAAACTTCTCTCTTCAAAGTCACTGGTAATCTCTTAATTGCCAAATCTGATGGCCTTTTCTTGGTCCTCATCCTTCTTGACCCCTCTGAAGATTTTGACACAGCAGGTCACGAACTTCTCCTTGGGCCTTTCTTCTCTCTAGTTGTCTGTGACATTGCTCTCTTGTTCTTCTCCTGCCTATCCGACTGTTCCTTCCCCTTGACTGGATCTTGGCCCAGGTCATGTCTGCTAACTGTGGGAATTTCTCAGTGCTCTGTTCTGGACTCTCTTCTCTTCTTTATCTGTATTGTTTCTCTTGGTGATTTCATCAGCTCCTACGGATTCACTTATCATCTCTATGTAGATGAATCTCAGATTTGTTCAGCCCTAACCTCTCTCCAACCTCTACTTTTACCTCTCCAACTGCTTCTTAGCCATCTCAAACTAGATTTTCCGTAAGACATCTTTAACTCAACATGTCTAAAACCGAAATTATCTTTCCCCTCCAAGTTTCTATTCTTCTGAACTTTCCTAGTATTAGTCACCTAGCTAGGCTCACAACCTGGGTGTCATTCTCTTCTCCTCACTCTCTCACCCTGCAAATCCAATCAGTTATCAGTTCCTGTCTTCTTGGTAACTTGTCTCATATAGTCCCCCTTCTGTCCTCTGACACTGCTACTACCTTTGTTTGAGGCCTCATCACCTCATGCCTGGGCTATTGGAATAGTCCCAAGTTTTTTCCCACTCCAATCCATTCTCTACTCTGCTGACAAATTGATCTTTCTAAATAAATTGAAGCTCTGACCATATAATCCTCTTTCCTAACCCTCCCTATTCACTAAAGCCAGTGACTTCCCATTATCTCCAGGATCAAATTAAAAAAAAAAACAACTCTCTTGTTTAAAGCTCCTTGTAACCTCTTTCCTTCCTGCCTTTCCAGTCTTCTTATATCTTACTTCCCTCATACCCTATGATTCAGGGACACTTGGACTCCCAGCTGCTTCTGACACATGACACTCCCATCTCCCAACTCTGAGTGGTTCCACTACTCCCTCATACCTGGAACACTCTTCCCCCCTCATCTGTCTTCCGTCAGTCTCAGTTAAAGTCCAACCTTCTGCAAAAAGCCCTTCCCTTTCCTCTGAGACTACTCTTAATTTATCCTAGATTTATCGTGGGCGTTGGGTCCCCCATTAAAATGTGAACTCCTGGAGAGCAGGACTGTTTTTTGCCTTTCTTTGTAACCCTGGGGTTTAGCACAGTGTCTGCTCATAGTAGGTGCCTAATAAATGCTGGTTGTCTGACTGCTGTCAACGCCAATTTCGTTTCCTCCTGAGGGGAATTTCTTTGAGTACTTTATGATGGACTCCTGTGATTCTCTGAAAGCTCTATGAGTTTTCTATATTTATTTGTGGGCTCCTATGAGTCCTTTGGCAGCTAGGGGGCTGAGTGGATAGAACATGGTACTTGGAATCTTTATTAGTTTAAATCTAGCCTTATTTGCTGTGTGATCCTGAGCAAGTCGCTCAACCCTGTTTGCCTCAGTTTCCTCAGGTGTAAGGAGAAGGAAATGGCAACCCACTCCATAACTTTGCCAAGAAAACCCCAGAATGGGTCAGGAAGACTAGGACATGAGCAAAATGGCTGAACAACAAATGAGTCCTTAAGCATCTTTTGTATTTTATGTTGGGTGAAATAAAGGCTGTCTAATAACCAGGATGCATTTGGTCACCTTGAGTTTGTGTAAAGGGACTGGGTAGTCCAGTTCCCCACACATATGGGCATTTGGAGTAACATCTAGGTGGGGGTAACATCTCCTGAGCTCAGAATTGAACTGCATGAGCCCCAAGCTTGAGGGGCCCTGGGACATAGGTTCCGATGGAAAAGACTTCTGGAAGCTTTTGTTCTTGCTCCCTGCAGGGGGCTAGAAGAGAGATAGAGGGTGCCAAATGGAAACAGATTCTACCAGGAGATGTTTGAGGCTCCTTAGGCCACTTTGGATATTAACCTGTTGACTCTGACTTTAAATTTCCTGTTAGTAAATTCCTTAGTCTCGTTGACAAGTGAGTGAATTCTTTGGGGCCACGCTGAGAAGGAATACAAGATCTAGTGGGGGTTAGAATAACACTCAAGTAGGGATAGGAGTCATTCTAATGTTAAGATTTTTAGAGAATTCATGCCTCTAAATTGGAACTCAAATTTGGAATTCAGGGAATGCAAAAGAGCCAGGGGAGCAGGAGGAGATACAATTTATACAAGCTTTGAAAGCTACCTGATGGCCTGTGTAAGCTTAACACCCTTTAGCATACACTCCAAACTTAGTGGACCAATCCTGTGTGTGTATGTTAACCGCAGCTAAGTGGTACCATGAATAATGTCAGGAAGATCTGAGTTCAAATCCTATCTCAGACATTAGCTTGTGTGACTCTGGACAAGTCGCTTAACCTGTCTCTGCCTCAGTTTCCTCATCTGTAAAGTGGGGATAATAATAGCACCTACCTCATAGGGTTGTTGTGAGGGTCAAAATGAGGTAATACAAACTGCAAAGTGCTACATAAATGGTAGTTAAATTATACAAAAGCAACCCTGAAAAGCAGCTGAACTGAGATTAATTCCAATGACCAATCTTGGTTTGGGAGAAAAAGTGAAGAAATACTTCCTCTCAACAAAGAGGGGGGGAATTATAGGTGTAGAATGCTGAAGATGGAATTGTTTTGTCAGTCTGTTCTGCAGAACTATTTTCTTTTGCTACAAGGGAGAGGTATGTCATGAAATAAATGTGGTATAAAAAATGAAAGGCATCAGTAAAGCTTATGAAATAAAAAGTAGACAAATGGAAGTGGCTGATGAGTACACCTAACTCAATGTATTTAGTCTAGGATGGAGGAGAGGTTAGTCTGAATTTCTGACGCAACTGTGGAGCTTTCTGGGGATCCACACTTAAGAGCATCACAATTTTTACCCAGCCTTGTGGCTTCATCTGCTGGTGTGATTCTTTCCTCTCCCTACCCCTTCTTTTCTATTTCGCCATGAATGAGAGGGGAATAAGATAAGCTGAAATGAAAATGAAAGAATCAGTTAATTAAGCAGGCATTGTGAATGGATAATAAGTCTGGTTAGAGAAAGAGTAGCCTTGTGCAGCCTTGAGGTATTATGGTGGAGGGGGCATGGCCTGAGGGAATCTGTGCTCACCTTACTCCCCTCCTAAATCAGAAAGGGTTAGATCGTCCCAGCTCTGCCTGCTGGAGTCTGCTGGGGTCCTCCTCGCTACCTTTTATGCCTCTCTTTGATCCCCACCTTCTTCAGTGTCAGGAATCAGAAGATGGTTTAGCCCTAGGACCCAAAGAAGTCTCCTAGTGAGACTCCCTCACCTCTGTTTATATTGATCTGGCAGTTTGGGCTCGTTTAGGCTCTCGGAGGGGAAGTGCATGGTCCCAGGCTGAAGAAAATCCTCTCTTAAGAGGAAACTCTTAGGGAATTGAAAAGGTTATAAAATTAATAGCGAACACGTGGTTCACCCAGGAAGTCTTTTTCTCATCAAACCAGAATGGAAGATATGATAGGTAGGCCTGACTCAGGCCAGTAGCCTGTTAGTTTAAATTCAGTTTTAAAAGGAGACACTCTTAGGTCATTCTGCTATTGATAAAAGGAGATTTACTTAGTTATAGTCCAGAATGGATATTTAATAAGGATACTCCTTAATTTAATAAGAATCTCCTTTCCATAGGGAAACCTATCTGGTTAGCAGGGTCTGATTCCTGACACTGAAGAAGGCGGGGATCAAAGAAGGCAATAAAAAACGTAGCTAGGAACACCACAGCAGACTCCAGCATGAAGAGCTGGGAAGAACTAACCCTTTCTGGTTCAGGAGGGGAGTGAGGCAAACACAGATCCCCTTGACCTCACCCCCTCCAAGTTGAAGGGGCAGCAACTCCACTTTGGTGGGCCTCTTTATGTTCATAAGGGACTAGGAAGCCAAGACAATGTGGTCAGAGGTTACCAGGAAGCTGAGAGCCTTACTCAATAAAAAAAAAATTGTTTTTCTTCCCCCCCCCCAATGAGGTGGGTGGGAAGGAGAGAAAAAAGATTTCTTCTGATTTAAAGAGGCAGCTAGGTGTCTCAATGGAGAGAGTGCCAGGCCTGACTCCAGTCAGGAAGACCTGTGACTTCAAACACTATTCAAACACAAATACTAGCAGTGTGACCCTGGGAAAGTCACTTAACTTCTGTTTGCCTTAACCCACTGGAGAAGGAAATAATAAACCACTCTAGTACATTTGCCAAGAAAACCCCATGGGCAGGATGGTCCACCAAGTCATGAAGAGTCATGGATATGACTAACAACAATTCAGTCCACTAACTTAAGAAAGAAGCTTTTGGCTGTCTGTGCTCTGCACATCACTAAACCCCTCTACTGAAGTTATTTTTCCTAGTGCCTTCCCCCCATCTCTCTGCCTGCTGCTTGGGTGTAAGAATCTCCTTTATCTTTCCTCTCTCTCTAGTTCCAAAATTTCATGGGATTCTCCAAAGCCATCTGCAGTCTTCAAACTGGGTGATATTTCCTGTCTTTGTACTGGCATAAGAAAGGGTAACTGGGTGGAGGGAAGAAGATGCTTTACCATCATTCACGCAACATGTGCCCAGTAATGTCCAGAAGGGGTGTTACGCTTGAAAATGTAGTCCTATACACAAATACAACAGGATGCTTTGAGATAGACTTGCTTTAAAATGAGTAAAATATAATTTAATTTTGTTTACACATTTAAAACTCAAGCCAATTGATTGAGGTAAGGAGGGTCCCTCCACCTTTTATGTCTCCTTAACAGTTAGTTCAAGGGTCTTTCTAGGGAGACTAGGTGGGGAAGGGGAGAGAGTTGGGGCCCATTATTTGTTGCAATACCACTCTATAAACCCCCTTCTTTCCTCTGACACTAACACCATCCTGGTGCAAACCCTCATTACCACACATCTGTGCTATTGCAATAACCTTTTAGTTGTTCTCCCAGCCCGGTCTCTCCCCACTCCAGTCCCACTCTGGTTGCAAAGTGATCTTCCTAAAGTGAAGGTCTGGCCAAGTCACCACCCTCTACCTCACCATTCAATAATTTCCAATAGCTCTTTATTATCTGTAGGACCAAATATAAGATCCTCTGTTTGGCTTTTAAGTCCTTCATTGTAACCCGTCCCCTTCCTGCCTTTCCAGTCTTCTTACAACTTTCTCCACTCAAGTATCCTGCCTTGCCACTGTCTGTGGCCCACAGCCCCAATTTTTCTCCTTTCTCATCTCCATCTCCTGCCCCTCCCCTTTCAGGTCCCAGATGAAATCCCACCTTGGGCAAGAAGCCTTTAATGTCCCCTTAATGATTTCCCTCTGAGATTATCTCCCATTTATCCTGATTATATCCTGTCTCTACACGTTGTTTGCATCTTAGCTTGCCCATTGGAGCGTAAACTCTACACTTTTTGCATTTCTTTGTATTCTCAACATCCAACAGAGCACTTGGCACATAGCAGGTGCTTAATACATGCTTGTCCATTTGCCGAAGGCAAGGGATTCCTAGAATATCATTTTGGGTATAGTACAAGCCACCATGAGACTCATCAATATTAAAAAGGGTCTTAAGAAGAAAGTGGTTAAGATTTTGTTCCTTTGTCCTCTTCACTAGACGGTAGGTTCATATCCCTGTGGGCACCTCCCCCCCTCCAGTTGTGTTCTGCACACAGTAGGTACTTAACAAAGGTTTTGAATTTTCTTGGAGCATTTTGTCTGGATCTTTCCTTTGCCCTCTTTATTTCCTTACCTTGACTATTTTCCGAGTGCATTCAGCAAGCTTTTATGAAGCTCCTACTATGTGCCAGGCATTGTGCTAGGTGCTAGTGATACAATGATTAAAAAAAAAACCACACTGGAAAAGGTCCCTTTAGAGGATGATTTTACACGTGTGTCCCTCTCCCTTAGTCCTCTCATACTGTAAGTTCTTTGAGGGCTGAGGAATGTTTTTTTTTCTCTTTGACTCCCCGGAGTCGCGCGCATAGTAGATGCCTAATACGTGCGTTGAAGGGCAAAAAGCCAGGGGGAAGGAATTCGTGAAGAAATTAGAACAAAAGAAGTGGGAGAGGAGTGGGAATCCCACCAGACGCAATTAGGTACGATTCAGCAAACGTTATCAACATTCGTGGGCATTTCCGGCTTCAAGTTCAAGGCCGGCGCTCCGAAGAGCTCAGAGCCAAGGCAACCTTAGACCCGAACCCCACGTTATCGCGGGGCGGTTGGTTATTTGAATAGACCAATGGGAAGGGCGGTTAAGGAGCCCCCGCCCTCAGCCAATCCCCTGCAAGAGGTTTGAGACTGTGAGCCAATAAGGAGGAGCGGGAGGCGGGGCCAAGGGCGGGAGGCGAGGCTGAGGATGATTACAAAGATGGCGACTGACTCGAAAAGTGACGGGGAGGTGCAATATCGGGGACAGAAGAGACGGTGAGTGAGGTTCTTGGGACAGCTTCGCCGGAGTTCGGGTCCTGGGATGGACGCTGCTGCTGCCCTGGGGCCCTGCGCCGGCGCCACGGAAGGGATTTCTTTCTCCCTCCGTCCGGAATCTGCGAAGGCGGCGCGTCCGTAGTAACGCCGGCCCGCTGGGCGGTAGGTGGGCAGGCGCCGGGTCACGTGGGTCTGAGCGGCGCTGCTCAGCCCCGCTGGGCGCACACCCTGCCCTCTGCGCACGCGCCCTGGGTTGAAGGCTCACCCCACCCCGGACCGCTCCTCGGTTTCCTGGGCTGCGCAAGTCTCCCTGGGTGACCCTTATCTTTTCTTCTCCTACGCTGTCTCCCTTGATGATCTCATTGGCTCCCATGGATTCCATTTTCATATGCATGAATCTGATGGACAGAGCCAGCCCTAACGTCTCTCCTGAGCTGCAGCCTCACATCACCAGCTGCCTACTGGCCAGCTACAACTGGATGGTGGCTCCAACTCATGCTCAAAACAGAACTCAGTATCTTGGGGTCCCCCCCCAATCTTCCTCTCCTCCTGACTTCCCTGTTAATGTCAGGGTGCTACCATCTTTTAGCTACCCAGGCTTGCAAACTGGGTGTCATCCTGAGATCTTTACCTCCACCTCCCGCCCCCCAGTATCCAGTCTGTGGTCAAGAGTTGCCCTTTCTATCTTCACAACGTCTCTCTGATTCTGCTGCGGTTACTACCGCTGCTACTGCCACTGCCCCTGCCCCTGCCCCTGATGCTGCTGCCCTGTTTCAGGCACTCATCAGCCCCCTCAGCCCTGCAGTTCTGCTAGAGCCATCATTCAGGTTGGTCTCCTGGCCTCAGGAAGCTTCCCTACTGGAGGCACCTTCACCCAGCTGCCAGAGGGGTTTTCCTCCAGTAGAGGTCTGACCCTGTCACCTGGAGAGTCGTAGACTCCAGCAGCCCCAGTAGCTCCCAGGATCAAATAGAAAATTCTCCATTTGGCTTTGAAAGTCAAGCCAAGTCAAGAAGCATTTATTAAGCATCAGGCACTGTGCTAAATACCAGGGATACAAAGAAAGACAAAAAAAAAAAGCACTCTGCTCTCAAGGAGCTCATAGTCTAATGGAGGAGGCAAACTACATACACACACACACACACACACACACACACACACACACACACACACACACACACACACACACACACACACACACACACCCTACACCCCTCCCCCAGATAGCCCAGTGGATAGAGTGATGGGCCTAGAGTCAGGAAGACTCATCCTCTTCAATTAAATTTAGCCTCAGATACCATCAGCTGTGTGGCCCTTGGCAAGTCCCTTAACCCTGCTTGCCTCAGTTTCTTCATCTGTAAAATAAACTGGAGGAGCAAATGGCAAGCCACTTCAGTATTTTTGCCAAGAAAATCCCAAATGGGGTCACAAAGAATCAGACACGACTCAACAACAAATATATATATGTATACACACACACACACACACACACATACATATATAATATACACATACATGTGTTGCGAACAACTAAGGACTCAACTGTATGGACACACATACAGCTAAGGACTCAGCTGTATAGACACACATACAGCTAAGGACTCAGCTGTATAGACACACATACAGCTAAGGACTCAGCTGTATTGACACACATACAGCTAAGGACTCAGCTGTATAGACACACATACAGCTAAGGACTCAGCTGTATCTGTGTATATGATAAATTGGAGATAAGTTGAGAAAGGCTTCATGCAGAAGGTGGGATTTTAGCTGGGACTGGAAGGAAGCCAGGGGATGGAGGTGACATGAGAGAATTCCAGGTGTGGGAGATGGACATTGAAAAAAATGCAAAAAGTTGTGATCTCATGTGGGCTACCACAAGGACGCCAGTGTCACTGGATCACAGTGGAGGGAAGTAAGGTGAGAGAAGGTTGGAAAGGCAGGAGAGGGCCAGGTTATAAAAGACTTTAAAAGCCAAACAGAGGATTTTGTATTTGATCTTGGAGGTAATAGGGAGCCATAGTAGTTTCTTGAAAAGAGAGGTGACATGGTCCAACCTGTGCTTTAGGAATGTTGACTTGACAGCTGAGTGGAGGATGGACTGGAATGGGGAGAGATTTGAGGCAGGGTATTATAACGGGCCAGGAGCGAGGGCTTTGCAGAAGGGTGATGGCAGTGCCAGAGAAGATGTTATGAAGGTAGAATAGACAGGACTTGGCAAATGATTGGATATGAGGATGAGGTGAGAGAGAGAATGAGGAACAGGCACTTCACAAATATCTCATTTGATCCTCCCAGCGACTTTGGGAGGTAGATGCTGTTATTATGCCCATCTTACACTTCAGGAAACTGAGGCAGACGGAAGGTAAGTGACTTGCCCAGGATTTCATAGTATCTGAGGCTGAATTTGAATTCAAGTTTTCCTGACTCTAGACCCAGTATTTTATCCACTGGGCCACCCAGCTGTTTCATGAGAGGAGAAGTAGAGGCCTTGATTGTAGGTGACCTTCTTCGGAAATTTAGCCATGAAAAACTGTTTTGTTTATTGTGGAAAAAGCTTAGCACAACGGTTATGGAGAATGAGCGAGGTATTGATAAGACTGAAGGCTTGAATTGGTAGTGGATTCAATCAGCATGGTTTCAGGATTTGGGAGTTACTAAGACTGGAAATTAATTAGTAATCCTAGGAAGGTAAACTTAAAAGAGTGAGGGGTTCCAGGGTAGATGCTGGTGAATGCCTCAGAAAAATCATAGGTGATCACAGGATCTTGAACTTGAAGGCTTTTAGAGGTCATCTCATCCTAAGATAACAGAGCCTGGGTCTTATGACTCTAATCTGGTGTTCTTTCCACCCTCCTCTCTTGCCTCATTGCTGACCACGGTATCAGCACTGGACAGAGTGGGGAGGGATGTAAAGAGGCTACATGTCCAGTCCTGCCGTTGGCCCTCTGCCCAAACTGGTTTGCCTGCTGTTCTCTGTACAGGAGGACACTCCATCGTCTACTTTTGTAAAGGCTGCTGGATTCTCTTCACACTTTGGCCCCTAGCAACTCCTTCTAACAGACACCTTTTTTGATCTCCTAGGTGCTAGTGTGTCTTCCTTCATTGTACTGATTTTGCATATATTTCTGTATGCATTAATTTTTACAATCTTTTAAATTACGAACTTAAACATCAACAGATATGAACATTTAATAACAGAAAAGAGGATTCTGTGACCTTGTTACATAGTTTTGTTTTTTAAAGTGTGTATTCAAGTTAACAGTAACCAAATTGCCTAGCTTGTTGGTACCTCTCTCTTTTGTGCATTTTTAAATATTTCATTGATGTTCTTTCCTTCCTCCCTCCCTCCCTCCTGTCTTTCTTTTTCTTTCTTTCTTTCTTTCTTTCTTTCTTTCTTTCTTTCTTTCTTTCTTTTTTCTCTTTTTCTCTCTTCTTTCTCTTTCTTTCTTTCTTTCTTTCTCTTTTTCTCTCTTCTTTCTCTTTCTTTCTTTCTTTCTTTCTTTCTTTCTTTCTTTTCTTTCCTTCCTTCCTTCTTCTTTCTTTCTTTCTTTCTTTCTTTCTTTCTTTCTTTCTTTCTTTCTTTCTTTCTTTCTTTCTTTTTCTTTCCTTCCTTCCTTCTTTCTTTCTTTCTTTCTTTCTTTCTTTCTTTCTTTCTTTCTTTCTTTCTTTCTTTCTTTCTTTCTTTCTTTCTTTCTTTCTTTCTTTCTTTCTTTCTCCTACCCATAGGTGGAGAGGTATATGATCTGTTTCTCTTCTGATTTTTTTATAGCCTGATCATTAATATTAAAGTCATTTATCCATTTAGAATGTATTGTGCATTATGGTATAAGGAGGTTTTAGTCCAAGCCTAATTTCTGCCATACTACTTACCAGTTTTCCCAGTAATTTATACCAAATAGTGAGTTTTTCCCTAGATAATTTATGTTTTTTTCTTTATCAAACACTGGATTATTGAATTCTATTGTTTCTGAATCTTTGTTGTCTAGTCTGTGCAACTGATCTGTTTCTTTATTCTTTAGCCAACACCAGATGGTTTTGATAACTGCTACTTTATATTAGAGTGCTATTATCCCTTTGTCCTTACTTCTTTTCATCATTTCCCTTGATATTCTAGATCTTTGTTGTCCCAAATGAATTTTGTTATTACTTTGTCAGGTTCTATTTAAGTATGTTTTTGGTAGTTTGATTGGCGTAGCATTAAAAGTGTAAATTAATTTTGGTAATATTGTCATTTTTATTATATTGGCCTGGCCTGGCCGTGAGCATTGAATATTACTTTAGCTATTCAAGTTTTCTTTGTTTCTTTAAAGAGCATTTTGCAATTAAAACTATACAAGTCTTTTTTTGTTCTTTGGGAGGTTGATCCCCAGACATTTTATGCATATTGCAGTTATTTGGAATAGGATTTCCCCTTCTATTATTGCTCCTTGTGTTTTGTTATTATGTAGAAAGGCTGTTGACTTTGAGGATTTACTTGATAGCCTGCAACTTTGCTGGAGCTATTGTCTCAATTGGCATCCTCAAAGATTACCTAGGATTTTCCAAGTAAACTATCATATATCATCAGCACAGATAATTTTATCTCCTTCCTATCTGTACATAGCTAATATTTATTATACTGTGTTGTAAGGTTCCAAAGGGTGGTGAGCTTTAGATTTAGAAATGGCAACATTGATGAAGTGTTCATTCCTGGACAGTGCGATTTCATTAAGAGCAGGTCATGGCAACTTAACAAATTTCCTTTTTAGGAAGTTTTTTTAGTTAGCTTCTATTCTTAGGAAGCTTTTTCTTATATCAAGTCTCTCTGCAACTTATACCTACTGTTTCTAGTTCTACTTTCTGGGGCCATGCAGGACACTTCTGTCTTCCATATGACAGTCCTTCAAATTGTTGAAAACAAGTGTCATATTTCCCATACATCTCATCTTCTCTGGGCCAAACATCCTTAGTTCATTCAGCTAGTCCTTATAGAGTCTGATTTAAGGTCTTTCCTTCCTAA